TCAGCAGGAGGAGGAAGGAAAGCAGAGCTGTTGGTGCAGTCCCTCCCTGCCCCTTCATAGAGGGTTTGCTAGCTGACAGGTTCCAGTGGCTGCTATGGGGCTTAGTTCTTTCTCTGTCTTTCTCAGGGTTTGTGTCTGTTACTGAAAATATGTGGATGTGGTCAAGTAAGTTCAGAGTTTTTCTACCAACACTGGGTTGTTCTAATAACTTCTAAAGCACAGTAAAGTTTTCATGAGTAACAACTGCTAGTTGGATAGCTTTTGTTGCTAGCTAACAAGGTGTTTTATTTCAACTGTAGAGTGTCCTACCTGCTGCACAGGATGAAAAACCCTGTCCATCTACAGCTAACCTCTCACGGCAGCAGCAGCAGCAGCAGAGAAACAAATCCTATATCTCGTGGCCCACATCAAGTAAGGCTTTGGAGCAAGCTTGTCCATTCTGAGCCGTAGTCTGTGGGTTCAACAAGAGGTGTAATCCTGCCCTTTTTTCCTGCTTTCTCTGCAGGTGGCAGTGATGTGGGAGGAGCCATGCCTTCCCGAAGTATGTCCGACCCTGACCAGGAGTTTGACAAAGAGGTAAAGTAGCTTTTGTTCAGTGGAGACCAACAATGTACTGTTACTGTAGAGACTGTATTGCCTTTTTCCAATAAATTAAATTTCTAAGGAAATACTTCCTAAAGACCATGGTCTTTATGGAGATGTCTTTCTTCCCCAGGTGTTTTCTCCAGCTTTTAATACACAACTGCAAGTTAGATATGCCATCACAAAAGCAAAGCTGGGAAAAGTTCTTTTTGGTGATATTTTAAGAAGTACTATGTCTTGGCTTAAGCTTTGTAGGCAAGAGAAACTTGACTAATTGATGAAATGTCCTCAAAACTCCCAAAAATGTTCTTCAGGCTATTAGCATAGAATACCAAAGTAATATGACTAGTTAAGTAATTTTCTGTGCTGCCTTAAGGAAGACTTTTTGTCATGTAACTTGAGAAGGAGTCATATTTTAAAATATGTAAAACTGCTTTTAGCAAGAGTAAAACTACATGCCGGTAGTCACCAAACTGAAAATGTCTTGGCTGTACAAACCTGTTGGCCCTGAATCTAAGGAGAGAAAATATATAATTTGTGTTTCCTTGATTTGTCATGGGTGTATCTTCTTCCAAGCTTTGCTCAAGCATTGCCTCTGCAAGGAAAATGTTAGGAATTATGACTGGGAGGCAAACTACATCAGTATCTTTGCAACTTTGTAGTGTTTTTTGGTAACCGGCTACAGACCCATGTAATGTTCTGGATTTTGAAGGGTGTTTTCCTGAAGCAAGGCCTTTGCAGGTTGCCCTGGGACACCCCAAGTTAAAGCATTGGTCCAGAGCCGTGCTCTGACTTCGTCACCTTGAGTAAGCCATTAAAAGCCTATGAAAATGGGGATCTCTGAACACGGGTATTTCTGAGCCTGTCTTAATTTTCCAAGGTGCTGATGACAAATTATTGCTCTTCAGTATCCTTCCTAAATTCCATTGCAATCCATGATTAATAATTTATTGCTTTTTGTAGTCATAAGTGATGGTGCATTTTAAGATTTTTACAACACTTTCTTTTTTGTAGGTCTTAAAATTTCTCACAAGTTCTTAAATTAAAAAACCGAATAGCTTGAAACTTGAAAAAGGAAGCTCTCTTACCACTGTTTGGCTTTATAGTATTTTTCCCATGTCTTTTGGCTTTATCTCAGCATGACCTGGATCACATTAGGATAATCTTGTTATAGATGATCTTATTATTGTTTGATCCATGCAAAACCTGTGAACAGCATCCTTGAAGGAAGTTACCTTTCCGTCTATTTGCTAAATATATATTCCCTTTCTTGAAAATAACTTACTGCAGTGGTACCAGCTTCTCCCGTGCAGTATTTCATTAGCTGTGAACGTGTGCAGTGCTCAGAGTTGTAACTCACCAAAATAGGGGGAAACTTGCCAGCCATCCTGGTGAACTGAGACCTGTCCGTGAAGGCAAATATCCAACAACCAATCTAACACTGGGGAAATAACTGTGGATAGACTGTCTGTTAGATATTGATGTAGGGCTTCTCCAGTAAGTATATTTTGTTTCCAGATCTCCAGCCTGATACTTGGCAACCTTCACTCTTTTTGTCAGGCACTTCACACGCTTGTTGCTGTTGCTGTTTTGTAAACAGTTCATGTGCTTGTTTCCTTCCTTTCTCACCCAACTGAAGATGATTTAAAAATTGCTTAAAAGACACAGGCTGGTGAATCTAGAACAACAGTGGGCTCCATCAGAAAAGCTTTGCTATGTTAAAGGAGAGCAGCCTGGGATTTAGCATTTTTCACATACTTTGCTATCATTACTGTTAGGTCAGAATGTCACCTTGAGGAGTGCACTACAGCCTACTGACAATAACCACAGAATGTTCTGGTTGGAAAAGACCTTTAAGATCAAGTCCAACCATAACGGAAGTATCTGCATGAATGTTTAGCTATGAAATTAATCTAATACACACTGCTGTGTAGGTATTGTTCACCCTGGTTTTTGAGTGCTTTTGAGTGTAAATAATTTATTTTAAGTAAGCGTGACTTTCTGTTTTTAATGTTTCTTGTTGACAGCCTGACTCAGACTCCACCAAACATTCTACTCCATCCAACAGCTCAAACCCAAGTGGTCCCCCGAGTCCCAACTCTCCTCATAGGAATCAGCTTACACTAGATGGACTGGACCAGTCAACCTGTGATGCATAACACTACCACTCTCACCATTCTGGCTTTAATCATCTACTACTCCATGGAGTATTCAAGAGCAGGGCAGAGCTGTCTCAGATGCTTAGTGCCAAGACTGACAGTGAATCTCTAGTGTTGTACAAGAATAATTATATATCCAAATTGTAGATACAGACTATTGAAATGAAGAGAATTCTTTGCTAAATAGCAATTGAGCTTTTTATGCAGAATTGTTCACCGCTCAGTTATGGTTGATTCCTTTCTGCACAGCTGTGACACAGTTTGATTGCATAGGAGCATTTGAGGCCACCGGTAAATAGTCTTATTCTTTTGCTGAAAAAGAAATAGAGAGAGATACTGATAATGTTTCTACAATATCAGGAATATTATTTTTCTATAGAATGATGTAATGTCTCATTAGCAGGAAATCCTTTTAGACACAATTTGGACCTCTACGTAGGAAATGCGAGCAGGTCTAGTTACATCCTCAAATGAATACACTTTTCCCTTTTTCCCATAACTGTTTGTTTCCTAAATCTTAAGGAGAATGCTTGGAAGCTGTAGGTCGTTTCCAACATCAATAGAATCACCAGGAAGTTGAATAAAAGTCGGTTATGGTTTTGTGGCCTTTTAATTAATTTAGCCATTACATATACAGCTGCGTAACTGTCTTTCTATCTTTCTACCAACTTTTTAGTCTTGTACATAGGACTACTGCCAGTTATCTTTTACCCACACCCTGCTTTTTAGTCCTCACCAATCAGTCATTAGTCAGGGCTTTTAAAATATTGGTAATTACTGCTGTGAAAAAAATAAAATTTATTCCTAGTTCCTGTCTATCTCCTTCTGAGGAGTTTGTTTCTCCTGGGTTTTTTGGTGTAAGGACACACTACGTGGTTTAGCTAACAAGCCTTCTCGTGGATCTGCTTGATCTAAGGGGACTTTATCACACTACAACATCAGTCTGTTTTATTGGTTACCAAAGTGGAACGTGAAGGATGTGTTACTGGGGGTGCTGCTTTTCTCATTAATTGTATCCTCACCTGCATGAAGACCCCATGATTATTAATCAAGTATTGATCATGTAGAAAAATGCACAACACACTCCTGTATATTTTGCTATGGCCCACGTGCAGTGGTGATGTTTTGCGTGTATATTTAATCTCATGCTTCCATGTATTATACGTTTAGTAATCAAAGATTTGTGACCATGTTTCATTAAAGGCTTGTAATTAATTCAGTGGCTGGCATATCCAGTTTGTCATTGTCACACTAGTGTGCCTTCTGTGCCAATTTTATGACAGTTGGATGTCACTTATTTAAAATTTGGTTTAAATGGGCTAATGATATACCAATGGCTAATGTTCTTTTCTGAAACACTGTATAGGACGTGCACTTATCTTTAGTTTGAACTGAGTGTTCTAGTCAACATTTAATCCTTTTGAGTTAAGTGTTCGACAGTTCTTGCTCTTTTTCTCAGATTCTTGATAAAGGGGCTCAGTTAGAGCTGGACACTACTGCTTTGGGGGTTTTCTGGTTTTTACTTTTTTAATGTAAGTCTAAGTCTTTGTAATTATTGAATTGTGAGAACATTTTTGAACAATTTACCTGTCAATAAAGCAGAAGAGGGAGGTTTTAAAGTTCATAGTCGTCTGTCTTGACATGTGAAAACAGTCTGCAACTGACACTTGCTTTAGTTTCATGGTAAATTCACTTGGTTCACATGGAGGTTTTACATAAACTGAAAGATACTTTGAAGGTCCTTACCTGAATGCTGCAAAAAAAGTGTGTGTTTTTGCCCATAAATGCATTTTGAGGAGCAATAGAAGTCTTTGTGATGGAATACAGTGTTGAAGTTTTGTGTCCTTGGTTTGTGTTAAGAGTTGTCATTTCATCAAGTCACTGGCCCTATTAATTAATTTATAAATTATTTCTATTACTATACTATGGCTGAATCATCATAAGGACTCTGCAGGGTCTTCAGGCATTTTAAGTGTGATAAAACAATAAAGGCTTTTGACTTGTCAAAGCAGTAGTCCCAAAGAAATACTTAGGAACGTTTCAAGTATTGGTGTGTGAATGGTGCAGTGACTAATAAAGGGGATTTTTTTTAAAGCTCCCCTCATGCTCCAGTGTTTGAGCAGTGGAGAGTTCACAGTAGCTACAACAGCACCAACATCTTTTCTAGCATGTCCAGGGTAAGCATCTGTCAACCCTGCCTGCCCAAGTGCTCCTGAGTTACTTCGTGATTTGTCTTGCCCATCTTACTCCAGATTATGTTAATGGGGAAGGCCTAAATTAGTATTTTGGACTCCACTGATCCTTGCTTGATCAAACCTATGTGGGCAAGGCCAGCAGGCTGGGGCAGGTGCACCCAAACTCTGCCCTGGGGATAGGGGGGACAGCTGACAGGAGGTTTGAGGACTGTGTGCCGGAAGCTGCCTCACAAGTATTCATGCTAATCAGTTTTTGACTTGTAAAAAACATTTCTACTGCTCTTGAGCTGATTTTTCTCTGCACAGTGAGGACTTTGGATGACAACAAAGTCTTTAATTATGGGGGTATTAAATCATAGCACTCAGTAGTGCCAGGACTTGGTTATAATTTAAGCAGGAGAATGTTTCTAGAAAAATAAATTAATAGCTCAGTATGAATACATATTTATTTTATTTTTTTTTGCCTCAAGTCTGGCCGAGCAGAATTCCTACCCAAGTCCTTCACCACAGCCCTTTTCTAATCTTCTTAGTCCCTTAAGGCTTCTGATGCTGGTTACCTCAAGAGTCCTCCTAAGCCCTCAGGAGAAATTTAAGAAATGCAGAAATTCAAGACTCAATGTGAAATGTTCTTCTGACAGTGCACTTTCTTCTCCCTGGAGGCTACCAGTCTAGTATCACAAGTGAGGAATTGAGTTAAGCAGGGAACAAGAAGCTTCTCTGCCCATTTCATTTTCACAAAGGCGTTGCATCAGGTCCTGAAGCTGGGGTGATGGGTGTGCAGCTCACCAGAACCTGTTGGTCACTTCTAGCAGAGATCTTTGCCACAAAAGGTTGTGTGTTTTGGAATACATTCTGGTCTCACTTGCTTCCCCAGAACAACCCGTCTGCCAGCACCTCTTGTCTACAGCTTCCTAAATGGGTGCAGTCTGCTGGGAGTGTGCAGAAACACTTTATGTTTGCTGTGCAAATGCTTAACAGAGCCAAATCACAGGGAGGGGACTTCAGTGTGGAAATGCTGAAGGTCCTAGCACCCTCCCTCTTCTGCACAATGCCAGATTAAGCCTCCCTGGGAGAAACCAGATGCATAAAAAATCTTTAAGAGCTGTCACTGGTATCCTAAAGCACTGAGAAGCAGGGAAGTGTTTGAGGGAAGAGATCGCTGTAGGATCTGAATGGCACCCTTGGGTGCAGTTAAGCAAAGTAATAGTCAAAGGAAGGTTTCACATCATGATCACAAATCTTGTCTTGCTGCAGAGTTTAGCCCATTTTAGAAGGAAAAAGAAAAAAAAAAGATGGTATTCTTGTATGCTGGGCTACTGGAGCATCTCATGTTCCAGTTTGCACCCTGCCTGCTCTGTAGGAAGTGGCTCCAGCAGGCAGGAGTGAGGAGGTAAAGTTGTTACCAGAAGTTAAAGCTCACCTGGCCACCCTTCACCTTCCATTGCAGCACCAGGAGGTCTCCTGGACTGCCTTTTACCTTTAAATGTGAGTCCCCTCTCTGTGTCCCCCTCTGTCCCTCCTCAGCAGCTTCAGCTTGACCTTGAGCTCCTGGCAGCCCCGTGGGTCAGGAGCTGCAGGTGCTGCCACGCTTGCCCGGGGGAGCAGCCCCATTCACAGAGGTTGAGAGCTGCTGCCCCACACCTGGGGCTTGTCACTGGCAGGACAGGGCAGGAGGACGGGGTCAGAGGGGCTCTGGTTCGGGGGAAGGAGGATCATGGGCACGAGTACTGAGAGGCAGGAGGGAAGACACAGTGCTTGGAAAGAGCCAGGTTGAGCTCAATGCTGCCTTGCAGAGCCCTCTCAGGGAACATGGGGTGATGGGACTGGACATTGGCTGCTCACCTGCTGTGGGATGCCAGGGAAAGCCGGGCAGTGGCAGAGCATGTCCCAGCGCCGAGAGATGCTCAGCGCAGCGTTGCCGGCAGGGTTAGCTGAGGACAAGAGGAGAAGACAGCAGGACGTGCTCAGCAAGCGAGACCTGCAATGCTGCGCTCCAGCCAGAGGAGGAACATGAGCTCAGGAATCAGCGAGCTCCCCGTCCTTGCAGCAAATATTTTCCCTGCTCCCCAGTAAGCTGCAGCACTTTTTTTTTCTTTTTCCTTCTCCTTTTGGTCACCTGACTGCACAAGTTTATGCAGCTTTATTGGTTGTTTTCCCATAGATAAATCCCTCCGATTTTTTTTGCTGCATCTCCCGTTTTCCAGTTTCTTCGTGCAGTCCCTGCTCTGAGGTCCCAGGAGGGAGAGCAGTGCGGAGCCCTGCGCTGAGGGAGGAGGTTGCCACAGCTCTGCTGCCACCCCACAGCGCCTTGGCCAGCCCTGGCTCTCCAGTGGTGCCACCCCCCCCCAGATCCCCTCCCTTTCTACTACCTCCTGCTAAAAAAAAAATAAAAATAAAAATAAAAATAAAAGAAATACATAGGGACAAGTGTATTTGTAGGCTGGGAGGTATGTTGAGCATCGCTGCACTGTCTGAAGCTGGATTTGCACAACTTCTGTGAGGAGCTGTGGCGTGTGGAGGGAAGGCACAATGGCAGGGGTTGGTGTCCATTAAAAGTGTGCAGGTTGCTTTTTCTTTTAAAACCCCGGGAAGCAATCACTCCTGAGATCTTGCCAATAACACGAATGCATTTTGTGGCAGTCTGTCACGGCGGGGGGGCCTTGACTCTCAAAACCAAGAGGAAAACAAAGCCATCAGGTGCCCAGCAGTGCCACGCACAGCCTGGGTGACATAAACCCCTCACCTGATGTGCTGCTTAGCAAAGATGTCTGCAAATTATATTCCTCGTTTAGGCAGGATCCCAGGGGAGACCCTTACGTACCAAAAGCCACTGCATCACCCTGCCTGCAGTGTGGGCTGTCTGCGTCCTGCTGCGCAGGGTAGTGATCATGGATGCAGCTGCTTTTCCAGCAGCTGTTGGCCCCTGGCATCACAAAGTGACTCCGGTGCTTCAGCCTTTCCTGCAGAGCTCCCCCCTCCCTGTGACGCTTTCTGTACGAGCGAGGGAACGTGGCTCCTGAAGGAAAAGTACAGAATGTGCTCTGCTAGTCCGCTGACAAAAATTGATCTCTACTTTAATTAAAGCCTCTAGTGGAAGTGACCTCGAGCTGCTAGTGAATTTTAAACATGTAGCCTCGCCAGCAGCAAATCCATACACCCCAATTCGGACGGGTGGCCAGGCAGTGATCCCTGCTGCAGGGTGACCTGCTGCCCACCGTGCCAGCTGTGCCATCAGCTGCGTGTCCTCAAGGCCATCCCAGCCCATGGGCACATGCCTGCCCACAGCTCACGCTGAAATCCCTGGCAGGATGCAGAGCTGATGTCCTCATCTGCTCGCAGGGGAAAGTACCATCCTGCCATCATCTTGTGCAATGGTCCCTGCTGCTGCCAGGTGGTCTTTTCCCTCCCCTGGTGTGCAACCATGGGAAGCTCTTGCCTCTCACTCAGCACACGTCACGGGGATGCCAGGATGAGGGGCCCAAAAACAGGAGAGGGAGGAGTAAAGAGCACAGAAAGGCTCTCATAGGCACCAAGTAAAGGATATGAACTTACCCCTCCACAGCAAGACCCATCCGAGGTGGCCAATGGATGCTGTAGCTCCCCTTGCAGGCACCATGGAAACATCATGGCACCATCACCCCGCCAGCAAGCAATGCATGGGCTGAACATGTTGCACCCCATCTGCACCAGCCTCCTGGCAGTGGGGTGTTGTCCAGCTTGGGGTGAGGGGTTGTCCCTTGGGTTCACATCACAGGGATTTTCCTTGGGCTGTGGGGTGAACTCTGGGGACCTGTCCCTGGGTTACTTCTCTCCACAGAGATGCAGTTGCTACAGGATATTGGGATGGTGTCAGTATCACCAGTGTCACTTGTCATCTGCCAGTGTCAGCCACCACCTGCAGCAATGGCTTCCTCTGCATTTTGAGCTGCCTGGTGATGGTGTCCTCCAGCACCAATTACCTGAGAGCTGCAGCAGAAGCTCCTACCAGAGCAAGTTGCTTTTCATCTCCGTGCTGCCCAAGGGGACTCTCAGGAGAGACGTGTGGTGAAATCCCCACCCTGTGCCTCCAGCACAGACTCTAGCCCCAACTCTGCCCCAGCTCACAGAGCAATGGCAAAAGCCAGGGCCCATAGGCAGCCTTGAGCCCTGCCTGGCTCCTGTTTCTTGTCCTGCCTGCTCACACAGCCCACTCAGAAGTTTCCCTGTGGGCAGGGGTTCCAGGGCTGGTCTCACCTCTGCGTGCTGCTCATCACCCTTTGTCAGGGCTCTGATGCACCTAATGATGAGTTCCCAGGTCTTTGAGAAGGGATTATGTCTTTCAGAGACTAGAACAAAATATAATAAACTCAAAATAGCTTCTTCCTTATGGAATATGCCAACAAGCCCTACTGAAAACCCAGCAGAATGCAAATTTGCATAAATTT